GGGATTGAGGAAAGCAACCACATGGGTTATCGTCATAGCTTTTTCCCCTCTATTTTGGTCTCCTGTGAGCAATTTCTCTCAACGAGACTTGAACACTCGACCTTTATATTCCAAAATAGCAGTTCACTCCATCTTTTTAATTTGAGAAGGATGTTGCAGAATTGTGTTATCCTGTCCTTTTCACCCTCATTTCGTTTAACTCAGCTGTCATATCTTGTTTTAAACTAAGATTGTAAACTCTTTGGAGCAAGGACCATCTCTTATCTGTGTAGAGAACACAAGAGGGCTCTGATCTTGTTTGGACATGTAGATGCTACTGTAATATTGCTGCTGATCCCTTAGCTGTTACCACATTCTCTTTAAGCAGAAGACATCTGTAAAAACATAGTTAGCTCCCGCTTCTGGCCTGAACTGCAACATCCTTGCTGTTGTGACTCATTGTGGTCTGATGTTGTTACTTTATCTTGCTATTTAATATGCTTGACAATTCTATAAATGAGGAAATTAAGTGTAGTTGTAGGACAAGGATGTTAATGTTAAGCTTCCATGAATAAACGCTTTTTGTAGAGGTGAAAACAAAATGAAACTTGAAAAGGCTACTATAACAAGTAATACAAATAGAAAAAATACTTTTTGAAACAGGATGTTTTTAAGGTCCTCCTTCCCACACAGTTTTCATGAGATGGGTTTAACCATTCTTTTTTTGGGCAGTAATAAATATGTTACCACTTTAGTTTACATATATTTGCAAAAACAGAAGTCCTGTTTGATTGTAGTAAAAGTTTTTGTTTGTTGTAAAGGTTAGTCTTTATTTGAACAGGATATACATACGAGTCTATGCCCATAGTATTTTGGGATGACAGAGTGCACACATTTTTTTACAAAAATGTTAATGTTTGACATGAGGTTAAGACAGAGTTGAAAGAAGCAGCTTTACAGTTCTGAGGGAGAGATGCTGGCTGGCTGAAAGATATTCAAAGAACTGCTTGTTATTTTAAGCCTTCAGACCCTGAGTTTTCTTTTTACCTCTGTGAATATGGATTCTCTTGGAGTCAAATATGGTGTTGCCTGACTTAAATGCTGTATTTGAGGAATCGCTATAGTGTAGTGTTGCAAGCAAAGGCTCCTGTTCTGCAGACTTCTGCATAAGTTGATGCAATAGTCCTGTTAAGCTTACTGAGACTACTTTTGTACAGATACTCACATTAATAACCATTTGAAAGACTGTGATCTGATTCAGCGGTATATCCACAGAAGAACTTTGAGGCAGCTTAGGGGCATAGAGGGCTAGGATTTTAGTAGAAAATAAGCTCGAGGAGACTGAAGAAAATGCTAGACCTATGATTCTGAAGTCAGTGGGTGGTTTGTTGTTTTCTTTGTGTGTGTGTCTTTCTCTCTCTCGTTATTAAACCAGTTGTAGTGCAAGTAAAGTGTTCCAGCCTTTCGGTATCCACATTTCACATTGCTGCTGCTGGAGGTCTTAAAAGTAAATGTAAATTTTAAACTCTGCAGCTGTTGTTTTTGCTGTCAATTAATCTTTGTTCAAGAAACAACAGACTGTATGCATATAGTAAATGAAAATAGACTGGGGTAGACTATTGACTCTTTTTTCTACTCACTCCTCACCAGTAAAAAATTAACTAACTCCAGAGCTTTGTCTACCTTAGTTGTCAGTTCTCCTTTCCTCACCAATTAAATCAGGAGTGCAGAGTGGGGAGGACTTGATCCTGTTCCCCAGTTTCTCTGTTTAGACCCCTGCTGCTGCTGCCTCTGACCAACATAAAAACATTTAAGCAGGAGGGCTTCCTGTTTCTGCCGCCTCATGGGGCAGTCTCATATTCTTTTAAAGAATTCATTTTGTACTGTTTGACTTTCATCTTTTTATAATGTGAGGATTAGATTTACAATATTTTTACACAGTTAAGAGTTTACATTTTTCTTTCTTTCTAATATAATGTCTAAAGTGTTGTGAAAGCCATATATTCCAGGTTGTTTTTTTTTTTTTTAAATTGGAGCAACTTGTGATGGTGGATTGTCTTTTTTTATTATTTCTTGTAATCCTGTAGAAATTCTGCTAGCTCTTTGAACAATGATGAAAAATAGAAAATACACCAGATTCCTTTCAGTCTTTTTGCTTTAAAATTGCTGGGGTGTGATGATGGGGGGAGATAAGGTCCCAATCCTGCAAACATAATGAGTAATTTTATGTACATAAGTAGTTCCTTAAACTCAGTGGACCCACTTATGTGCAAATATATGTGCATGAGTGTTTCTCTGTAGAATCAGAGCCTTATTTTATAGTGAGAGAGAGGTTGTGAATACGGTCTGAGGGTATGTCTACGCTACGAAATCAGGCCGAATTTATAGAAGCCGGTTTTGTAGAAAGCGTTTTTATACAGTCGATTGTGTGCGTCCCCACACAAATGCTCTAAGTGCATGTAGTCGGCGGAGTGTGACCACAGTACCAAGGCAACTGTCGACTTCCGGAGCATTGCACTGTGGGTAGCTATCCCACAATTCCTGCAGTCTCCGCTGCCCATTTGAATTCTGGGTAGAAATCCCAGTGACTGATGGGGCTAAAACATTGTCACGGATGGTTCTGGGTACATATAGTCAGGCCCCCCTTCCCTCCCTCCTTCCGTGAAAGCAAGGGCAGACAATCGTTTTGTGCCTTTTTTTTTTGAGTTACCTGTGCAGACGCCATACCACGGCAAGCATGGAGCCCGCTCAGCTAACCGTTACCGTATGTCTCCTGGGTGCTGGCAGACGCGGTACTGCATTGCTACACAGCAGCAGTTTATTGCCTTTTGGCAGCAGACAGTGCAGTATGACTGGTAGCCGTTGTCGACGTAGTCCTGGGTGCTCTTTTAACCGACCTCAATGAGGTCGGGGGCGTCTGGGAAAACATGGGAGTGACTCAGCCAGGTCATTTCCCTTTTAAGTTTTGTCTCATGGCAATTGAGTCCTACCGGCAGTGCACTGTCTTTTAATCAGCAGCCAGCAGAAGACGATGGCCAGTAGTCATACTGCACCGTCTTCTGCCGAGCACCGAGGAGATGACGATGGCTAGCAGTCGTACTGCACAGTCTGCTGCCAGCAAGATGTGTAAAGACAGACGAAATGGCTCAAAACAAGAAATAGACCAGATTTGTTTTGTATTCATTTTCTCCTCCCTCCCTCCTTCCATGAAATCAGTGGCCTGCTAAACCCAGTTTTGAATTCTATCTTTGAGGGGCCCATTCAGTTTCTCGCAAAGCCATCCCCTTTGTTGATTCTAATTCCCTGTAAGCCAACCCTGTACGCCATGTCGTCAGTCGCCCCTCCCTCCATCAGGGCAACGGCAGACAATCGTTCCGCGCCTTTTTTCTGTGCAGACGCCATACCACGGCAAGCATGGAGCCTGCTCAGATCACTTTGGCAATTAGGAGCACATTGAACACCACACGCATTATCCAGCAGTATATGCAGCACCAGAACCTGGCAAAGCGAAACCGGGCGAGTAGGCGACATCAGCGCTGTGACGAGAGTGATGGGGACATGGACACAGACTTCTCTCAAAGCACAGGCCCTGGCAATGTAGGCATCATGGTGCTAATGGGGCAGGTTCATGCAGTGGAACGCTGATTCTGGGCTCGGGAAACAAGCACAGACTGGTGGGACCGCACAGTGTTGCAGGTCTGGGACGATTCCCAGTGGCTGCGAAACTTTTGTATGCATAAGGGCACTTTCATGGAACTTTGTGACTTGCTTTTCCCTGCCCTGAGGCGCAATAATACCAAGATGAGAGCAGCCCTCGCAGTTGAGAAGCAAGTAGCAATAGCCCTGTGGAAGCTTGCAACGCCAGACAGCTACCTGTCAGTCGGGAATCAATTTGGAGTGGGCAAATCTACTGTGGGGGCTGCTGTGATGCAAGTAGCCAACGCAATCAAAGATCTGCTGATATCAAGGGTAGTGACCCTGGGAAATGTGCAGGTCATAGTGGATGGCTTTGCTGCAATGGGATTCCCTAACTGTGGTGGGGCCATAGACGGAACGCATATCCCTTATCTTGGCACCGGAGCACCAAGCCGGCGAGTACATATGCTGCAAGGGGTACTTTTTCAGTAGTGCCAGAACCACTGGTGGATCACAAGGGACGTTTCACCAATATCAACGTGGGATGGCCGTGAAAGGTACATGACGCTCACATCTTCAGGAACTCTGGTCTGTTTCAAAAGCTGCAGGAAGGGACTTTATTCCCAGACCAGAAAATAACCATGGGGGATGTTGAAATGCCTGTAGTTATCCTTGGGGACCCAGCCTACCCCTTAATGCCATGGCTCATAAAGCTATACACAGGCAGCCTGGACAATAGTCAGGAGCTGTTCAACTACAGGCTGAGCAAGTGCAGAATGGTGGTAGAATGTGCATGTGGACGCTTAAAAGCGTGCTGGTGCAGTTTACTGACTTGGTTAGACCTCAGCGAAACCAATATTCCCACTGTTATTACTGCTTGCTGTGCGCTCCGCAATATCTGTGAGAGTAAGGGGGAGATGTTTATGGTGGGGTTTGAGGCAAATCGCCTGATTGCTGGCTACGCACAGCCAGACACCAGGGCAGTTAGAAGAGCACAGGAGGGTGCGATGCGCATCAGAGAAGCTTTGAAAACCAGTTTCATGACTGGCCAGGCTATGGTATGAAAATTCTGTTTGTTTCTCCTTGATGAAACCACCCGCCCCTTGGTTCACTCTACTTCCCTGTAAACTAACCACCATCCCCTCCTCCCTTTTCTCACCGCTTGCAGAGGCAATAAAGTCACTGCTGCTTCACATTCATGCATTCTTTATTAATTCATCATACAAATAGGGGGATAACTACCAAGGTAGCCCCGGAGGGGTGGTGGAGGAGAAAAGCACCAGGAGAGGTGGTGGAGGAGGGAAGGACAAGGCCACACAGCACTCTAAAAGTTTAAAACTTATTGAATGTCAGCCTTCTGTTGCTTGGGCAATCCTCTTGGGTGGAGTGGCTGGAGGCCCACCCCACTGTGTTCTTGGGCGTCTGGGTGAGGAGGCTATGAAACTTGGGAAGGAGGGCGGTTGGTTACACAGGGGCTGTAGCAGCGGTCTGTGCTCCTGCTGCCTTTCCTGCAGCTCAGCCATACGCTGGAGCATATTAGTTTGATCCTCCAGCAGCCTCAGCATTGAGTCCTGCCTCCTCTCCTCATGCTGCTGCCACCTTTCAGTTTCAGCCCTGTCTTCAGCCTGCCACCTCTCCTCCCGGTCATTTTGTGCTTTCCTGCACTCTGACATTGTCTGCCTCCACGCATTCGTCTGTGCTCTGTCAGTGTGGGAGGACAGCATGAGCTCAGAACATTTCATCGCAAGTGTGTTTTTTTCGCCTTCGATCTTCACTAGCCTCTGGGAAGGAGAAGATCCTGTGATCCTTGAAACACGTGCAGCTGGTGGAGGAAAAAAAAAGGAACAGTGGTATTTAAAAAGACACATTTTATAGAACTATGGGTACACTCTTTCACGGTAAACCTTGCTGTTAACGACAGGTTTCAGAGGAACAGCCGTGTTAGTCTGTATTCGCAAAAAGAAAAGGAGTACTTGTGGCACCTTAGAGACTAACCAATTTATTTGAGCATGAGCTTTCGTGAGCTACAGCTCACTTCATCAGATGTATACCGTGGAAACTGCAGCAGACTTTATATACACACAGAGAATATGAAACAATACCTCCTCCCACCCCACTGTCCTGCTGGTAATAGCTTATCTAAAGTGATCAACAGGTGGGCCATTTCCAGCACAAATCCAGGTTTTCTCACCCTCCACCCCCCCACACAAATTCACTCTCCTGCTGGTGCTAGCCCATCCAAAGTGACAACTCTTTACATAATCAAGTCGGGCTATTTCCTGCATAGATCCAGGTTTTCTCACATCCCCCCCACCCCCATACACACACAAACTCACTCTCCTGCTGGTAATAGCTCATCTAAACTGACCACTCTCCAAGTTTAAATCCAAGTTAAACCAGAACATCTGGGGGGGGGGGGGTAGGAAAAAACAAGAGGAAACAGGCTACCTTGCATAATGACTTAGCCACTAGCACCAGCAGGAGAGTGAATTTGTGTGGGGGGGTGGAGGGTGAGAAAACCTGGATTTGTGCTGGAAATGGCCCACCTGTTGATCACTTTAGATAAGCTATTACCAGCAGGACAGTGGGGTGGGAGGAGGTATTGTTTCATATTCTCTGTGTGTATATAAAGTCTGCTGCAGTTTCCACGGTATACATCTGATGAAGTGAGCTGTAGCTCACGAAAGCTCATGCTCAAATAAATTGGTTAGTCTCTAAGGTGCCACAAGTACTCCTTTTCTTCTTGCTGTTAACATTACATACATAGCACATGTGCTTTCGTTCCAAGGTCTCATTTTGCCTCCCCCCAGCGCATGGCTAGCTCCTCCACCCTCCCCGTGGCTAACAGCAGGGAACATTTCTGTTCAGCCACAGGCAAACAGCCCAGCAGGAACCGGCACCTCTGAATGTCCCCTTAAGAAAAGCACCCTATTTCAAGCAGGTGACCATGAATGTTATCACTCTCCTGAGGATAACACAGAGAGATAAAGAACGGATGTTGTTTGAACCCCAGCAAACATACACTGCAATGCTTTGTTCTACAATGATTCCCGAGTACGTGCTACTGGCATGGTGTGGTAAAGTGTCCTACCATGGTGGATGGAATAAGGCTGCCCTCCCCAGAAACCTTTTGCAAAGGCTTTGGGAGTACATCCAGGAGAGCTGCGAATGCCAGGGCAAATTAATCCTTTCACATGCTTGCTTTTAAACCATGTATAGTATTTTAAAAGGTACACTCACCAGAGGTCCCTTCTCCACCTGGTGGGTCCGGGAGACAGCTTTGGGTGGGTTCAGGGGGTACTGGCTCCAGGTCCAGGGTGAGAAACAGTTCCTGGCTGTCGGGGAAAACTGGTTTCTCCTCTTGCTTGCTGTGAGCTATCTAGAACATCATCATCTTCCTCATCCCCAAAACCTGCTTCCGTGTTGCCTCCATCTCCATTGAAGGAGTCAAACAACATGGCTGGGGTAATGGTGGATGAACCCCCTAAAATTGCATGCAGCTTATCATAGAAGCAGCATGTTTTGGGCTCTGACCTGGAGCAGCCATTCGCCTCTCTGGTTTTCTGGTAGGCTTGCCTCAGCTCCTTAAGTTTCACGCAGCACTGCTTCGGGTCCCTGTTATGGCCTCTGTCCTTCATGCCCTGGGAGATTTTGACAAATGTTTTGGCATTTCGAAAACTGGAACGTAGTTCTGATAGCACGGATTCCTCTCCCCAAACAGCGATCAGATCCCGTACCTCCCGTTCGGTCCATGGTGGAGCTCTTTTACGATTCTGGGACTCCATCATGGTCACCTCTGCTGATGAGCTCTGCATGGTCACCTGCAGCTTGACACACTGGTCAAACAGGAAATTGAAATTCAAAAGTTTGCGGGCCTTTTCCTGTCTACCTGACCAGTGCATCTGAGTTGAGAGTGCTGTCCAGAGCGGTCACAATGGAGCACTCTGGGATAGCTCACAGGTTACCAATACCGTCTAATTGTGTCCACAGTACCCCAAATTCGACCCAGCAAGGCCGATTTCAGCGCTAATCCCCTTGTCAAGGGTGGAATAAGGAAATCGATTTTAAGAGCCCTTTAAGTCGGAAAAAAGGGCTTTGTCATGTGGACAGGTGCAGGGTTAAATCGATTTAACGCTGCTAAATTCGACCTCAACTCCTAGTGTAGACCCTGAGAGAATACTTCCCCAGCATTGCTTTGTAAGAATCAGCTCTTCTGTGTGCATCTGGACTCTCCTCCCTGCTTCTGGAGATCTTGGCAAGTAGACAAGCCAGCTTTCTGTGACACGTGTAGGTGAGCTGAGCACACACTGCATTTCCTGTCCTTGTTTCTCCCCCTTGTCTCCTTCATAGACATATTTGGCCCAGGAGCAAGATTGGAAACGGGAAAATGCCTTAGTAAAACATCTTTTCCAAAGCTCCAAGGAATAAGTTTGCTGATTCTCTTTAACGGAACTGAAGTCCCAACTGAAATAAGGTAGTTAAAGTTAAAATAAGAGCAAGGTAGACTGAAAAAGCTTCATGATGGAAGTCTGTAGTCTGCTGTTCACACTCCTTAGGTAGAGTAATCTGGAAAAGGCTTAGAAGGCAAAATCTTATGCACTAGCCAAGGCAGCAGGTATGAGGAGAGAGCCTCAGCTGGTGTAACTTGTCAGTTATTTCAGTGGAGTCATGACAGTTTTTACCATCTGAGGATCTGCCATGTGGTCTGCCACCAACATAGAGGAGAAAACCTGTGGCTAAAATTGTTGCCCATGAAGATGATAGAGAAGAACACTGAATTAGGGGGCACAGTTAATTTCACAGAAGCACAAAAGGTAGAAATGCAAAAGTACTATTTAGATTCCCCAGTGCCTTTCCCTTACAATGCAGGATTGCACTTTACAGTAGTTACTCTTCTTATGCTAGTTACCCTATTGAAGATGCAAAGAATGGATAGGCTGAATGTTGCATATAAGAAATAATTTAAAAAAAAACTGTACAAGAACTACTGATTGCTTCAGAAGTGTGAATGGAAATAATTTAGAGCAAAAAGACAATTTTGCGTGAGCAAAGGTTTTATTCCTAGAGTTGTTTTTAGGTATGTACAAATTAACAGCTAGGGAAATTTCTAGTCAGATTAAGTTATTGTGGTGGTAAATTCAACGAGGGTAGAGATAGTTTCACTAGGTATTCGTTTAATTAAAAAAAGCTCATTGACCACCTTTGCTTATCTAACATAATATTTTAATCATGTGTATATAAAAGTAGTAAAGATTTAAAACTTTCTTTTTAAATTTTGGAGAGTATTTTTGTTGAAATTCTTATGTCTAATGACAGCTTTTATTACTTTTTAGTGGTATAAAGCATTTAATGTCTATACTCAAAATGGCAATTTTACTAACCAACAGTAACATCTATTATTCTCACATTGGGGGGAAAAAAGGTGATCGCAAGTTTTAAAAATCACTTTTAGTCTCCATAAATCTGTTACTTTGTTTACTTTATCTGTGGGGAAAAAATGGATGCATCTATTGCACAGTACATGCAACATAAAATAAAATACAGAAATGCCTATAGAGTGAGGGAGGATTTTTCTGCCAGTTATTCTAATTCCAGAAACACAAAATCTAGGAAGGTATTTTAAATTCCTTACTTTAAATGTCACATCTGTTGCCACTTTTTGCCCCCCTCCCAGAACATTAAAACTAAATAATACAGATACAGGGTTAATACCGTGGGCCAGATTCTAGTCTAAATTACACCAGTAACATCAGCATCTGACATCTATAAATTATTCTGTAAAATTACATGAGAGAAATGCCATAGTGTTTTAAAAATCCAGCTTTCCTTTTTATAGTATTTAAATCTACTCCACACTACCATTTAAAAAGGAGGCTATATGTAGTTTAACATTAAGCAGCATTAATTTAACGGAAGGTAAGATCTAACATGGGTGAACTATATTTTGACGTTATGGGAGAAAAAGCAAAACAAGTAACAATAGAAAGATCCACAGTCTGGCTACCACTTAGCCAGCAAGTTAAATATTAACCCTTTGCGGGAAAAAGTCTATCTAAAAAGTTAGTGGGGCAACCAAAACTGTCTCAAATCTTTGGGTGAGAACAACAATTTATGCTGATACATTAGTAGCTCATAATGGCAGCTGAAAGGAGGGAAAGTATGGCACAAACCAAAAGCATCACATATTGTGCAACTTACTTGAGGGAAAGGACCATTGGGATTATTCTTGCTAAAATGATCATGCAATAGCTAGTCCAGCAGAAATAATAACTGAGTGGGTAATAGTCTCTTACGAGGACCCTAGTACATGACCTTATGCCTACTTTATACACCTTTTACAATTGTTTAGTTCTAATAAGACACCTGTCTCTTTAAATAAAATATTTTCCATACCACTTCTGAAGGCCTTTTTGCTTGGACTGTCCAGCCTAAGATTCTTTTAATGCTGTATTTCATCTTTTTTGGAATTCTTTTCCAGTGAATTTAGATGAATGCCCGGAACTGACCTTTACAAACTGCTATATAAACATTTGAGTTTGAATGGATGCACTGAATGTGTAATGATGCTTTCTACAAATAGTTGCATGAGATGTTAATTACTGAGGTTCCCATATATTTGTTGCTTACTTATAAGCAGTTTCTTTTATGTCTTAATACTGATGTGTAAGTGTCAACTGACTTAACAGGACATCCTTGCAAGTAAGATCTTTGATCTCAAGAGTTTATTTTATCTTTGCAACAAAGATAAAACTGAATTGAACTGGCTGGCTGAACTAAGCCCTCTCTTTTCTCTGTGCTACATGTATGTCGGTTTTTGAAGTATGCATTTATATGCATGTGCAGATAGTATACTGAATGTTTCAAAACATTGCTGGAAGATGAGACCAGTAAATTGTGCAGAAAGTTTGTCGCTTACATGGTGAATTCAGTCTATTAATGTAAAATAGCAGCTAGCAGTTGAACCAAAAACCTCACATTTGCTGTTTGTTTTCTTTAGACACCTAGCTGTTGGGCAGAAGAGGGATCAGAAAAGAGATCACATCAGCGTTCAGCATCATGGGGGAGTGCTGATCAACTAAAAGAGGTAAATAGTTTTACATGAAGATGGTCCTTGTCAGGCCAAAATCTTAATGTATTTTTTAAAAAAGTAACATGCTACTATTTTGGAGCCTGAAAAGTCTCTGTGAGCACTAGGTTCGGCCCCTAGTTCAAGACAGAATTGTTATAGGGCTGCTTTATTTTGTGCCAGCTGAACCATCTCTCTCCAGCTCAACCTTTTGGCTCTGGAGGAGGAGCAGGAGTGGATGGTGTAGAGACAGATTTGCCACTTGGGAATTTTCCCTATTCAGTGAAAGTCGCAAGAGCGTAGTCTCCCAGAGAGTAGTTATCAATGGTTCACAGTCATGCTGGAAGGACATGATGAGTGGGGTCCTGCAGGGATCAGTTCTGGGTCTGGTTCTGTTCAATATCTTCATCAATGATTTAGATAATGGCATAGAGAGTACACTTATGAAGTTTGCGGACAATAGCAAGCTGGAAGAGGTTGCAAATGCTTTGGAGGATAGTATTAAAATTAAAAATGATGTGGACAAACTGCAGAAATGGTCTGAAATAAATAGGATGAAATTCAGTAAGGACAAATGCAAAGTACTCCAATTTGGAAGAAACAATCAGTTGCACCCATACGAAATGGAAAACGACTGCCTAAGAAGGGATCTGGGGGTCATAGTGAGCCACAAGCTAAATATGAGTCAACAGTGTAACATTATTGCAAAAAAACCGAACATCATTCTGGGATATATTAGCAGGAGTGTTGTAAGCAAGACATGAGAAGTAATTCTTCGGCTCTACTCTGTGCTGATTAGGCTTCAGCTGGAGTATTATGTGCAGTTCTGGACGCCACATTTCAGTAAAGATGTGGACAAATTGGAGAAAGTCTAGAGAAGAGCAACAAAAATAATTAAAGATCTAGAAAACATCACCTATGAAGGAAGACTGAAAAAACTGGGTTTGTTTAGTCTGGAAAAGAGAAGACTGAGAGGGGACATAACAGTTTTTTAAAGTATATAAAAGGTTGTTACAAGGAGAAGGGAGAAATATTGTTCTCTCCTCTGAGGACAGGAGAAGAAGCAATGGGCTTAAATTGCAGCAAGGGAGGTCTCATACTGGGCCTCTGATACTAAGAGTTTGTTTCAGGGCCTCATCTTACTACAGCATCCATTGGTCCACACCTGTGCCATGGCACTCCTCATGCTTAGTATCGAGGGAATAAGGAGAGGTGTAGACTGACAGCCTCTCCAGTTCCTTCTTACTGCTGGAGTGAGAATCCTCTATGTCCAAAGCTTTCTTGTCTTCCTGTCTATAAGTACTTGTATACATAGTATTAGAGTTTACTGTTTTTATTACTTAGGAGTTTTATAGTTAATGTACAGTAGTTTTCCTCACCTCATGGACCCTTCCCATTTTCTCTACCTTGGGAGAAGAACTATGTGCAGAATTCAGAGTTTAAGAACTGTGTCTCCTGCCTTTGCTCTTTCTCAGTCAGCAGTGACCGTCAGCAATGCCTTAACTGCCATGGGGAGGTTCACATCTCTTCCAAGTATAGCATTTGCTGCCCCTTTCCTCTCTCAACCTGAGAGAAACAATAGCTTCAATTGAGGGAGTACCTCTTGCAGAAGGCCATGAGACCCCAGTCAGATCCAGGCCAGGGGACCCCCCAATACAGCAGCTGCAGTCTGCAAGCAGCGCTCTTCTGACCACAAACTCTGGAGCAGAGGCCAAAGCTGTTAAGTCCAAGGAATGGTTGCCTTCATGAGAGTAAGAGGCAATCTCATAGGAACCAGAGCAAATTCCCTTTGAGGTTTGCTCCTAAAAGAAAGGATCCCTGCCTGACTCTGTCCTGGTTGTGTGAGTCCTTGTGTACAAGTCCTAAAGACTTGGGTCTGCCTAAACCTCCCACCCACAAGGGTAAGGAGTGAAATAGAGAGGATCTGTCAATATTGGCTCCAGCTCATGAGCCGGAGGATCAGCACCCACTGGCATCAACAGAGAGCTCCAAGTTGGACTCCTCTTCAACAGTACTTGACTCACTTTTGTAAGGATCTGTTGACCACCATGTCCATGGACGCACCGGATCAGTTCTGACTACTTGGGCACCCTGCACTCTGGGACCCACTGAAACTTATAACTTTCTGGAGGGTTTTTGCACCTTTCCTTACCTTCAATCCCCTCTCTTTTTTCCGGATCTCATCCTCCTAAGGGACACCTTGATAGCAGGACAGAAACCCAGAGAAGGAGCTACTCCCCTACTCTGTCCATAAATTGACACCTTCATCTACTGGTACTGATGACACCCCTGATGGAGCCAGAATCTCCCTCCTCTTTGGCTGAATCCAGCATCTCAGACAAGCCATCACCTCCACATACAGAGGCTAGCGGTTGGCCAGAACAGAGTCTCTAGGATGTCTCTGACCCATCCTCCAACAAGACACAATTATCTGGGAAACCGATGGTACCCAATTCCTTGGGGTCCCCCCTTATATAGCTGGTCCAGCATACTGCCCCTGTTGCAGTCCATGGGATCCTTACTTCCCTAGGGACAGATCCCAGGCCACAAACAGCCTGATAAGATAAGTCACCCGCAGGTCTCTGGCTATATCGTCCTTTGCTGTCGGTTAGCTCATCTGCCTCCGCTGCACAGGATATGGACCCATGCTATGAGAGCACAGGGAATCTCAGTAGTTTCCTTTTCAAGAAGTGCCTATACTGGACATTTGTAGGGCAGCAACCTCCATGTCTTCTGTGAGTGCTGATCCCTATGTGTATTCCATGCATAGGTGACTGGTAAGCAGCATTCACAGGTGCAGGAGGGTGTTTAAGATGCAGGTGCTGTAGATGTCTGTAATTCTGCATCTGCAGAAGAGGCTTGGACTAAAGCATAATGCTTTGTGAAGGTATAGATGGAACTCTAGGTTACTTACCTGTAACTGGAGCTTCTTTGAGATATGTGGTCCCTATTTGAATTCCACTACCTGTCCTCCTCCTCCTCTGCTTCGGATCATTTCTGGATTCACAGTAGAGAAGGAACTGGAGATGTGGTCGGTCTGCACTACCCCTTACAACCTTGGTACTAAGCATGAGGAGCAACATGGTACAGGCGTGGACCAATGGATGTTACTTGCCAGTTCTCTGATCTCAGGTGCATGGAGCAAATGCGTACCCACATGTAGAATACAGAAAGGGACCATGCATCTTGTAGAACCTCCAGTTACAGGTAACTAACCTCTATCAATAGCAGGTTATATTCCTCTTATGTGGACGAATCACTCGGGGGGAGGTGAGACATACCTGTTGACAATGGGTTTCACAGATATTTGCTGACAAAAGAGGAATGGTGAGATTAATTAATCTTGGGTTCCATTCCAGTTTCTGAAAGGGAGTGTGTTCTCCTGGTTACAGATGCTTCTGATCTTGTTTCCCTCCAAGCTTGATCCCTTCTTCCCCTGTACCCAACACGCTGTATCTGTCCTCTTTTTTCTTTTTGCCCCAGCTCCCTATCCAGTCTCCTTGCTCAGCTAGTCCTAGTTTCCTTGTCTGGGCTCCCTAAGCTCCTCAGACCGGTTCTGCTACTTTCCCCCCATCCCTAGTTTCTCCAGGCATAGTCAGTCTGTCAGTTTCCAGTTCCTCATCCAGTCTGTCTGACTCCTAGTTTGCTCCCCCGTTTTTTCCTCTCCTTGGCTTGAAGTTTCAGGGCCTTTGCCCAGCCAGTCCCATTCTCTGCCAAGATTTGGCTCTTGTCCCCCTCTGAATATGAGCCATGCACCTCCTTCTTCCATCCTTCTTGGGGGCCAGCAGCGGGGGCACAGAGCACAGAAGAGAGTCTCCTTTCTCTAAGTTCCTGTGCTCAGTGTTGCAGGAAATGTTTACTCCGCAATTAGACACCTGTGGCTGGCCCAGGCCAGCTGACGGGGGCTCACAGTGCTTGGGCTGCAGGGCTGTTTAACTGCTATGTAGATTTCCGGGCTTAGGCTGCAGCCTGAGTTCTGGGACACTCCTACCTTGCAGGGTCCTCGAGCCTGTGTTCCAGGCCAAGCCGAGAAATACACACTGCAATGAAACAGCCTGAGCCCCAGTCAGTTAGCATGGGCCAACCACGGGTTTTTAATTGCAGTAGATATACCCTCTGTGGCTTTTAGTTGCTGGGAGCAGCAGTTACAGGGAAAATCCTTCTCAGCGCCTACAGCACTAGGCTGGAGCACGCCCAGTACAGACAAAATCTTCAGAGAACTTGACTGTCAAATTCTGACAAGTCTCTACTGAGCATGAATAAACTGAGTTGTTTTTTTTTCTAAAGTTCATAACTTGACTGAATTTGGGTAGTTGGACAAAAGGCATGTTTGGTTGGGCAAGAAACACATCTCTGACAGAGTTTCCTGCACCCCTTACTAAATTTCAAGTTCCTACTCCAAAGCACAGAGGCGTGTAAGAGCTTCTCAGTGAAACAGTTATAAGAATTTTTTTTAACATGGGCAAAATGAATTTTTCCCTAATTTCATTCTTTGAGACAGCTGTATTATTTTTGCTGCAACTTCGGTTAAAATAAAATAAGCCATTCGAGGGGGAGGGGGGAATATCAACTGAAATGGTTAGTTTGACAAAGTTATAAGTTCCTGAAAACAAGGATTGCAGCAATGGAGATAAGTGTGAACCCTGCTAGGCAACTGTATTTCTATTATGAGTAACATATGTAAAACTACCTTGTCTTTGGGTTTTTGAACTGTGTTCCCAACATGCTTGACCTCTTTGGCAGTCAACAAACAGTTGTCCATTCAAAGCATAGAAAATGTCAGGGTTTTCTTTTTTCCATTGCTTTTCATTCCAACAATGATTCTGCTAATGCATAGCACTTTTAGTTGGCAGGCATTGTGAACTAAGCAAATATTTGTAAGCATATTTTATAATTAGTTTTGTAGAGTATACAGTATATGCTGTCCTATTTTTAAATTTCATTAGTATAGTTAAAATAAAATACAGTTGCTGAAAAGAACTAACCAGGAAAAAATAATCATGATTGAATACTTGAAA